AAGTAGTATAGCGGAATCTTTATGTTACAAAATCTAGGGACTCCAGACGGTCGAGTGTTCATAAAAATTACGCTATTTTCATCTCCTATTTGTTAACAGTTTTTACTAAATTTCATGAAGATCAGTAAAGGAGTTTGGTCGTAAAATATAGCGACAAGACCGGTTATGCCCACTTCTTACCATTTTCCCACAGTAATGAAATATTATCTACGGTAAAAAGTTACCATTTACTTGTATATCTACTCAAGCTACAACACGTAGCTATCTAGCGGTGAAAGATTTATTGAAATAAGTTAAGTAGTTTCGGAGTTATTCGGTTAAATACAAATGAAAGAAGCAAATCTTTCTTATTTTCTGCAGATTTTATATGAATCATCCTAATATCATCCAAAACGCCGCGCCAAAGCGAGAAAAGTTAACGGCATTTTAGAGCAGTATTGTGGGATACCGGCATTAATAAATGTAACTTGTATAAATTATACACGGAAAATAAAAATCTACATTGCCGTTAAAATCCATAAACGACATTTTAGCGCTGCAATTTTCACATAACGGCATCTTAATCTAGAAATTAGTTTTTACACGTTTAAAACTTGACTTAACTATAATACAGTTAAAGTATTTTAGCTGCAATCTTGTTAGTAAAACTTAGGTAACGGCAATTATGTTATGGATTTTGGGTATAAAATTGTGAAAAAAGTCAACGTTTTTCAAGTTTAACGAGTTTTAAAGGCATTTTAGCTATGTTTGTGTAGATAACGACCTTATAGCCCTGTTTGGGTGCCCAAAGCTGTCACTTAGCGGCAATTTTATGTTTCGTATCTCCGGAACTAAAAAAGATAGAGAAAAATGAGTCAGATGGTTCGAAAAAGAATCGTTTCCTTACTACAATGCCATTAAAAAGTGAAAATTGAAAAATTGAGGGTTAACGGCATTTTAGTTATCCCAGGGCAGTACAATTTAGGTACATATTTTGGGATATCTCACTTTCGTTAACATTCGTGGCCGCGCCTGGAAGCATCCTTCCTGGCGCGGCCACGCTCATATCTCACGAATGTTTAAAGTATCAATAACTCAATAAGTTGCGAGGTACATTTTTTTTCTCTTTAGGTACTAAATAGTACAATCATTCTACAAAATTTGGACCCGATACGTGACCGTGGCCGCGCTGCGTAGTACGAGGTGATTTTTTTGATCAAATCTAGGCTGTTCTTATGGGTAGGTTCGAAATGGGTTAACTTTTTGTACAGTGAATTTGCCAGTTTTGTTAACTTGTAACTAGAAAAAAGTGTTTAATTAATAAAATAAAAATTGCTTGAGTATGATGAGCCGCTTCTGCTGAGATATGGACATCGAGGGTCAGGAGTACTTGATGTAGACCACCCACCAGGGGCCCAGCTAGACTATGAGAGATACAGATATGAGTCCTTAGGAAAAGTTGTTTAGTGTTATTTGATGTACGTGACATGCGAAATTTCTTTATATTTCTATATAAAGAAATAAAACGTATTTCTTTTTGCTTACCGACGCACCAAGTAGTATAGGTACAACGTGTTACAAAACAACCAATAAATCTCCCATACAAAGTGAGTTCATTTTGTATGGGAAGTCCAAATTTTTATTTCATATATAGACCCATCTTCTATGGGGAAAGTTGTTCAGTATCATGAGTACCTTGACCTCCATTCAGCTTTATTGGTTGTTTTGTAACACCCAGTATAGGGTGAAATTTTACTAGTGACCGATAACGAAAACTCAGTACCGGCTGGTGATAAGGAACAACTTTCCCCAAGGAACATAGGTCGAAAAACGAAAAAAAATTTTGACCTCCCATACTAATTTAGTATGGGAGGTCCAAATATTTTTTTCATATTTTGTGAGCGTCAGGATTGCCGGTGTACCTATACAGATTTGAATGAGACCTATACTGAAAATTTGTACCTAATTAGTACCAAATAGTACCTATAAAATAAAAATTAGTACCTCAATCCTTTTTTTTTTATTTTTTTATTTTTTTTATTTTATAGCCGTAATATTAAAATTCTGGTACACCGGCGGTTCTGACGTCAGGATGGCCGGTGTACTGTTATATCTCCTTAATCGCTACAACTATAATTCTGAAACCCACACCAATAAATAGTACCTAAATAGTACTCCCTGAAACACACAATTAGTTGTAAAAATATCAGCGGGTTATGAGACAAATTGAAAAACAAATTTATGTTTCGAAGCTACCAGTGTTGCCAGATTGCTCCGCCGTTTTCGTTTCTGACGGTTTTGACAATCTGGCAACTATGGTAGCTTCGAAACATAAATTTGTTTTTCAATTTATCTCTTAGCCCGTTGATATTTTTACAACTAATTTTGTGTTTCAAGGGGTACTATTTAGGTACTATTTATTGGTGTGGGTTTCAGAATTATACCGGGAGTAACGGAAAGGCTATAACAAGCCGAAAGGAGGTCAAGGTACTCATGAAACTGAACAACTTTCCCTATGGAACATGGGTCGAAATATGAAAAAAAAATTTGGACCTCCCATAGTAAGTAAATCAATTTGCTGATCGGCTATTTTGTATGGGATGTTCAAATTTTTTTTCATATTTCGACCCATGTTCCATGGGGAAAGTTGTTCAGTTTCATGAGTACCTTGACCTCCTTTCGGCTTGTTATACCCTTTCTGTTACTCCCTGTAGATGTAGCGATTAAGAAGATATAACAGTACACCGGCCATCCTGACGTCAGAACCGCCGGTGTACCAGAATTTTAATAATACGGCTAAAGGATTGAGGTACTAATTTTTATTTTATAGGTACTATTTGGTACTAATTAGGTACTATTTTTCAGTATAGGTCTCAATCAAATCTGTATAGGTACACCGGCCATCCTGACGCTCACCATATTTTGAAGAAAAGTTTCAAACAAAAGTTGTTCAGTTTTGCGAGTAGATTACACCCTCAAGAGATTTGTACTTAATTAAATGTAACCGTATAAGGTAAAACTTTAAATACCTTAGAACAAAATTCCTAAATTTAGTTTACCTCACAGTTTATTGACCTAATGAAAATTACCTATTAATTGAGGATCGATATTTGGAAACTGTCTAGCACCAGTACATAAACCTATCCATTCAAGGCAACATCTTATTCTGTTTTTTACACGATTGCCTCAGGAGGTTTGTTTATCGAGAGTAGGAGCAGAGTAGGTACCAGTACCTACTATGTATCCAAAAATTTGTCTCATCAGCGTGAGTGACGTGACAGCCGATGTGGCGCAGTGGTTAGTATGACTGCCTGCCACGCAAAAGGGTTTCGGGTTCATTTCCCGGTAGGGTCATTCACAAAGTTGATATTTATCACTTTGTGAATTTGTTCCCAGTCTGGTTAGGATATTGCAGGCTGAACCACCAGATTGTCCGAAAAGCAAGATGGTTCCGTGCTTCGGATGGGCACGATAAGCCGTCGGTCCCGGTCGCTGTCTATGATGGCGGTCGTTACACAACCATGTCAGAGGCCTGCTACTTGCAGTAAGTGGTCGAAAAACTCTGTAACCAGGGTTCCTCGGGTCGTTGAACGACTCGGTGACCTACACGAAGAGAGAGAGAGAGAGAGAGAGAGAGAGAGAGAGCGAGAGTAACACACCTATTAAAAATTCATAAGTTGAAGATGTCGCATTTTAATCGCACACCTACATCTTTGAAATTACCGCAGTCGGGTTTAATATTGTAGCTGTAAAGGACGAGGAGGAGGGTTTAATATTTTAACACATCTGCTAGTTAATCATACAAATAGTCATGTGTGCAGTCGATTTTAATTACTAATAAAAATGAATGAATCACATCGGAGGACTTCTTTTGGCCGACCTTGTATTACACGCTAACAAAGTTTAATAAATTGTTAAATCCGATTACTAATAATGGGATTTTCAGTGTATTAAACTTTGGTTTCAAGTTTTATTAAATATATTTCAGGATTTCAGCCCATTTTTAAGATGTTTTCAAATATTTCGAATAAGTCGCGTGACTCGTGCCCATTCGAAAAGTAATAAATATTCGAATATGTGCAAGCCCTAGTTCCTACCAATGTTTATAGATAGTGTAGGTATGTATTGCGTTTTTTAATGCATTCAGTGCTATCTAGACACATGGCAGTGTGTCCGCCAAGTTCGAGCAAAAAAAGCGATTATATTACACGAACCATTTCGGGCCAAGTTCGACCCACCTATAACTCAAAAATCTATTTTATCTACGCATATGAAATTTCTAGTATCTGTCGAGATCTACTTACTTATCTAAAATACAAAATTTCATCAATGTACCTATTGTAGGTCTTGAGATATTGACGTCAGAAAATCGCTATTTTTACTATACACTCACTGACTGACTCACTCATCAAAAACCTAGACCACTTCCAATGGTCGTATTGACTTGAAATTTGGCATGGAGGTAGGTCTTTAAGTCAAAGTAAAGGAAAAAATCTGAAAATGGCCAAGTGTGAGTCGGTTTTAAAAATAATGAAGGTGTAAATTCATACCGCCATACCCCTAAGGAACTAAAACAAAAAATTTATCTATATCTTCCAATCGTCGTACCGACCTAAAATTCGTTACGAAGGTTTGTATTTAGTCAAAGTAAAGTATAAATGAGATATTTCCATACCTTACTTAATCATAAGAAAAAAGAAAATAAGCCTTACAAAAATAAATGAAATCCCACAGTTAAAAATAGTTACAGGAATGCACACTTGATTTTTCGCAGTTTGGAAATAAGAATCTACTTTCCAAACTGCGGAAAATCAAGTGTGCATTCCTGTAACTATTTTTAACTGAGGTCTGTGTATGGAACTTGGTACTTATTTAGATCTCACTTTTATAGGCGAAGCATTCCAATATTATCGAACTTGGCAGCCTTTCACATTTATGTTTTGGGTGGGATACTTATTACCGTCATAAATTCAAAATGAGAAAATTGAGAAATTCATTAGCGATGCTGGGACTCGAACCCGGCGTCCGTAGCACAGTTGAATGAGCAGTGGGACTGTACCCCACGGTCCCGGGTTCAAGTCCCGACGGTCGCTAATGAATTTATTATTTTTTCGTTTTATATTTGTGTGTAGACAGGTATGTTAAATTAAAATAATTGGAAATGTGTTGGAAAATGGAAATGAAATCTAAAACAATAAAACTGCGTATATCTTTTGTAAACAATTGTTTATTAACATTTTATTCTCGTTGCGTCACTGCACATAATTAAACACATTCGTCACAAACACGCTGGCAACATTACCGCAACAGCAATACAATATGACTTTAATTAATTGTGGTATCTATCTATGGAATTATTTGTTATTTATAACTTATAATATGAGAAATTGCTTTCATTTTTCTTTTGACAACGAAAGAAAAGTGAATACACTAAAACATAACAATGCTAAGTACGGAGTGATTGTACTTTGTCCTTAAAGGACGAAATGAACTAAGATTAAAAAAGTATTTTATGTGCATGCAAGTAAACTACTAAAAAAGACAAGAAGTTAAAAAGTTTACAAAGATATTACGAAATGGAATGATTTTTATCTTTCAGTATACTCACAAATCATAATGTAAATATTTTATGATTTTCAGTAAAACGTTCGAAAATACAAATCAGGACAAGAATTCAATTTTGTTTTAGTCAATTGTAAACATATAAAATAAAATTATGGAATCATTTAAAATATAAAAAAGAGCAATCAATAATAAACATTATCATAAAGATAGAGGCGTAATAAATAAATTAAGAATGCTTCAATTTTATTTGTTTGATGAAATTGAAAATCATAACTTCAAAAATGATCAAAAATTCTTCAAAAAGAAAAATGAAAGTTTAGTTAACACTGTCTTTAATTTAAGTACAAATAATGTATTTGTTACAATTAGAACAAGCTTGTTCGACTGCAGTTTGTAGCTATTTTCACATAATTTAAACTTACATTTTGTCATCCTACAAAATTAAATACAAGAACATTATTATTGATCATCAGTCTATTCATAGTTTGATATAATTTTTACAATTTTGTCGATTTAGCCTTTTTAATCTACGTTTTAGTACAAAAGGCAACATAAGATGGATTTCAATTATTTATTCCAAAAGGGTAATTTATTGACAAGTTTCGTGCAAAATCACAGTATGTAGTCGATACGGCACATACTCGCTTAGAGAATGTACTGCACCAAGTACCTTCTTACAGGAATCCACCATGTAGCCTTATCTCACTAATAAATAAGTTAAAACAACCTGAAGCAGTTCAATTTTCCTATGTTGCCTGATGTCGTATTATATTGTCAATACTCTTACAAAAGTAATGGAGAATATACTTACAGCTAAAACTTATTAGTTTTTATACACAATGACTTAGGTTTCGACATTTTGTTTCTTATAAGTACTCAAGTTATTTTAACCTACAAACTAATTACGTGCGTAGTGTATATGATCGTTGGGCAGTGGGGCGGGCCGCGCGGCCTGCGCGCGCGCTCCAGCCGCGACCCGGAGAGGGGCAGCGCGGCGGAGGGCCGCAGCGCAGGCCGCGCGGGGCCCTCGCCTCTACATGCAGGAACGTTACATTGTTGAGCTACCAGTACTATTTAAAGTACAGAAGCGAAGAGAAGAAAAATCACTGTCGATTTTCAAGAAAACCTGAACAAGATTTTTACCGAAAACTCACTAAAATTCAATTTACCATAGGAACAATAATAAAATTAATCAATCACAAAAAATACAATCGATGTAAAACTTACGAACGCCTCATTTGCGTCATTTCATATAAATTATTCTAAAACTCTTACGTTACGCACGGTTTGGTTTTATTTACTGGTGCGAGTCTAAAGAGGGACAGCGTTAGTGGTGTGAAAGGTACATAGAAGCGATACTGATGTTAACTGCTGATTTATAGGAGCGGGGATGAAATCGTGGTAGAATACATACAAACAAATTTCGGGACTGGTAGAATATGAGCATATGAACGAGTCGAGGGGTGGGAAAACGGGGAGGATGAGTTTGATAGCGTCAGTATCGTTTGTATGGTGGTGCGGCGGCGCGAGGCGGACCGACGCCCGGCGCCGCCGCGGCGCGCCTTACCTACAGAGATCGCAGACAGTGGACGACACCGCGTCCACCCGGCCCCAGCAAGCGCGGTCTCACCCTCACCCTCGCCTCACACTAACAGGCCCATCTTCATTCACCAACACTTAATGAAAATCAGCCTTTCAAGAGGGTTTAAGTCTGCATCAGCTTGGCAGTGTCACTCCGGGCGACGCTTGCCAACGAGGGGCGGAAAATACACAACCCGTAACGCCGGATACTATTTACAGGGGCGTACGAATCGCAACTTTCAATAAATACATCCGAACTCTTACAACTAGCATTCTATACAAGGAGTCACTTTACATTTAACGATATATTTACACGCGGCGCACAGCCAGGTTCGCACAAGCGTCCGTTGTGAATAAATAAGTTAGTTTTAGTCCATTGCCGCGATTGTAAACACTACACTTGTGTGGCGAACGTCGGCGGCAGGCAGTGGTCGTCTAACACGTACACTCCTCCGCCTTCAAGCGCTCGCTTTACTAGCGATGTATCACTGGAACAAAACAAAACAAAAGTTAGATTCAAATGTCGACTGCATGTCGTTTAAATAATAACATCATATTTTGAGAAAATTCAAGCAAACGTTATAAAATGCAGTGTGAAATGAATACCAACCTGTTAGCGCAATACGCAGAGTCTGCGGAGAGTCGCGATAGTCTTGGATCAAGAGCTGCCAGCAGCCGCGCAGCACTCTCTGTGTTGAGTGTTTTTCTCTTACACTCCTCGGCGGCGGCGTTGTGCGCGTTCTGACACTCCGGCACCGGGCCCTCGCACTTGCCCCAGGTGTTGCGGATCACGCGCCCGCCGCCGCCCGCGTTCGCTGCGTTCTGGGCGCGTGCCTCCGCGTCCGCGGCGTTCTGCGCGCGTTTTCTTCTCCGCCGTATGCACGCGACTGCTATAGCCGCTGCCAGCGCCGCCGCCGGCACGGCCGCGGACAGCGCCGCTATGAGCGCTACGTGTCGCCCTGACAGATTTTCTTCGTCGTTAGTATCTACTCTTCTCAAGTGATCTCCTGCCGGTCTAGCCGCTTTTACAAAATCGTCTTTAGAAAACGTACAAGACTTGCCGGTCCATCCCGCCGGACAGACACAGTGATAACCGTCGACTCTGTCTCGACAGGTGCCCCCGTTGCGGCAAGGAGAGGAAGCACATTCGTCAACGTCGATACTGCAATCTTTGCCGGCGAATCCTGGACGGCATCTACACTCGTAATCGTTGTCCAAAACGTGACATTCTCCACCGTTAGCGCACGGCTTAGCGAGACACAGATCGACACGGGTCTCACACCGGGGTCCGAGGAATCCTGGAGAGCATTGACACTTTTGTCCGTTTACTAAATCCACGCAAGTCCCGCCGTGTTCGCAAATTATTCCTGCGCAGTCGTCGATATCGATTTCGCATCTGTTTCCTCTGTAGCCTTGCCTGCAGGCACATTTAAATCCATCACCTGCTCGGGTACATGTGGCTCCGTTACGACAAGGGTTAGCAGCGCAAGGATCAGCCTCTAAGGCGCAGTCGACGCCGGCATAGCCTGCTGGACAGGTGCAAACATAGCCTGAGAGTCTCGGTTCGCAAGTGCCTCCATTCTGACAGGGTTGATCGGCGCATGTGAGTCGCCGAGTTTCGCATCGAGCTCCTTCATATCCGAGCGGGCAAGTGCACGCCAACTCGCCCCCTTCGTCGGGCAGGCAAGCGCCGCCGTTCAAGCAGGGCCGGACGGCACAAGAGTGGAGGGACTTCTCACAGTCGGGGCCCGTGTACTCGGGCGGGCAGACGCAGGTGTAGCTGCCCTGGCCGGTGTTGTGGCAGGTGCCGCCGTTGCGACACGGCCGATGGTTGGTGCAGTAGTTGAGGTCCTGGTTGCAGAACAGTCCGCCCCAGCCCTCTTCGCAGATGCAGTCCCAGGGTTTGGAGCAGGTGCCGTGTACACAGCCCGGGTGTCGCTCGCACTGGTCGCAAAGCTCGCCCACCCAGCCCGAATGACAACTGGAATCAAAAGAAAACGTTCATTAGCAAAGTGATAACAAGCGACTAAGAGGATAGTCTTTTCTTTTCGTGCAGAACAATGAGAGGACTGAATGATTTAGGCGCAGAGGGAGGTAACGTTAAGCGTTTAGCACAAAGGTGTGAAGTGGATACTCACATGCACTCGCCGGGCTTGAGGCAATGGCCGTGCTCCGCGTCGCAGCCGGGCAAACATCGCGCTGTAACAAAAATAAAACGTTGTTAAATCATCACAAAGACAATGTATTCGGGGTGATACAATGGGATGCTAGGCTAATGATTTCTAAGGCGAGGGGAGAGGAGGCGAACGATTAATTATCGGAATGAAAATCGGCGGTCGGATGTAGTCTGTGTGTAGGAATGTTTTGTAGATTCTCTGCAAAGGACACGGCGATGCAACAAAGAGAGAGGTTCGTTAACGTCCCGCCGCCGCCGTCCGCGGGCGAGGTCGCGCGCACGTAAGCCATTTATCAAGCGCACTACATCACAACCTTATCCCAGGTACACTGTGTTCTCTCTTAATTTTGTTTTAAATATTATGACGTGGTTCTTTCATACGTATATTGTTTTAAATTTCTGTCAATATGAAATTACATAGTCTCTTCTTCTTCTTTTTCTGCCTTGTTCTCTTAATTCTGAGAATCTTTCATGCAAAGCATCAAATCGAGCTTCTTCAGTTTCCGTCTTTCTACGGTTTCATTTGAATTCTACAATTAAATAGAAATGTATTCTGTACCTACTATCTAGGCCCCAAGCTCCACAGAGAGGACATAGGACATGCCCTACGACGCTTGACGCTTGATATCGCGACGCTTTGGCGACGCTTGAAACGGTTTCCATATAAAATGTATGAAAACGTATTGACAAAGGCACACACAAGCGTCGCCAAAGCGTCGCATCTATGACAGCTAGCGTCAAAAATTAAGAAGAATGTTTGACGATTACTTG